TGATTTCGCAAGTAGTAGCTGTTTGCCTCGTTGCAAGCACTGCCCTAAATTGTCATGAAAACGAAAGTCCTTCTCGACATTGGCCCTGCAGCAAAGCATTGGCTCAGTGGCGGGAGAAAGGACTGCCACTCTCAAAGCAAGTTAATTTCATCGAAGCTTGAATTTTTTTTTTTTAATAATTCTTGCTCTTTGGTTTATTTTGACAAAATGTTGTCACGTCGATGTTATTAAAGTGAGAACTGAAAAAAAACCCCACAACATCACCAGATGAAAAGAAATTGATTAAAATGACTTTAATACAAAATTTAAAGGGTCCTGAACTTAATCTTCTTTCAACTCAGCCACACTGTCTTCATGAGATGCTGGTTGGTGGAAAATACCGTAAGATATGAAAAGGTGGCGAGGCAAGGTGACAGAAGAAGAAAAAGAAGAGAGAAAAGAAATCTGAAAAAGAAGCCGAGCAGACAACGCAACAGAGAGAAAAAGGAGAGAGCGCTAAGGCTGCAAAGCAATATGTTTTTAGAAGTGGGTGAGAGGCACAGAGCGAGGCAAAGGCACAGGGCCAAGGAAATGTTTGGAATATTAAAGAAGTGGTACTTGCTTGCTTGAAATGTGTCTGTGCTTAACCAGTTAACGGTTTACAATTTTTTTTTCCCCCTACAAATTTATTTTTGTTCATCTCTCCATGCCAATGACATATAGTGACAAGACGAACAAATAATTGCTCATCCACTAGATGGCGGTGATGAAGCAAAATGGCAGAATATATATAACCATCTCTGTTCTAAGCAGCAGATCTCCACATTCAGAGCAAAAACAAGCGCAACCTAAACAAAACTGACTTTGACACAGAAGCAATCGTGATTCCGCGTCTTCGCGAATGATGTGTGATTGATGGAAAACATGGAAGTGCCAGACAAGAACCAATTTCCTTTCCTTCACTTTTCCTGCCTTGCCACCAATGTTCTGTCGAATTTCCCATGCGTGAGAGCATTCACACAAACTCTCTGAACATCCCTTGGGCCACGGTGAGCAACGGTGAGATAAAAAAAATAAAAGTTACATGATGTCGATACGTAACCAAAAGAATTCAAAGCACCCATACATCAAAACAGAACAAATCACTGAAAAGAACATTTTGACATGAATGAACTGTCATCTGCGTCAGTGGTGAGTGTGAGTGTATCGGTGTCAATATATGCTTTCCAAAAGGAAAGTGGGAATGGTGTGGTGTCCTGTTTGTAGGTTTAAACTGATGTGGAAATGAAGGAATGAGTATAGAAATGTCATGTGGTGCGTACGAGCGTCACCGTGTGTGTCGAGAGAGTCAGAGCAGCGCTCAAGTGGTCACGCACGCAGCTTAAACGGAACACTGCTTTCCCCACCTACTGTAGAAATCGTGCTAATCACACCGGCCATGCCAATTGTTAATTTAAGTATATGTTGCAGGCTAAAAAAATGGATGGCTGTCCGCAAATTGTAATCGTTACGGGATCGAAGCGGGTACAGGGAAGCCGGGGGGTGACCATTGGTTTCCTGCCTCTTAGCCTGCAGTCATCATTCTTGCCTGGCTGTCGTGTGACTGCTGCCAGCTGTCAAAGGGCCCGCTCTGGTCATGCCGGCTGATGAGACTTTCCGCGCATGCTCTCCAATCAATCCAGCGCCTCCTAATAGGTCACGAATGGCTGCGCGACGCTTGCCAATATGCCTCAGATCGGAGGAAGCGATAGTGGAAAGCGAGGTAGACAAGTATGGCGGCCATGTTTGCATCATCAAGCCTACAATTGGCTGGCCGCGGCGACAAAGGAAAAGGGTGCTAATTGACACGCTGCTAATTAGCCGGTGTGGGCTGGCGACAAACTGGCATGGCGGTAGCCAAATTTGAACGAAAACCAGAACATGTTAGCATACAGCTCTCGCTTCCTCATTAGCGTTTCCTATTTCCAGGCCTAATTATGAGTAAATGTGTACACACCAAATGATATTCCCTAATTGGGGAGGCAGAACAGAAGAAGAGAGAGAGCCATTGGGTGAGTTTTGTTTTCAGATAGCGAGCGCTCGGTGGCTCAAAAAATGTTTTGCTTTGCAAATCAACTAACTTATGGGCCGCTAGTGCGGGCGAGAATATGTTTGATACAAATGCTCTCTAATTAAACACATTGAAACTGCCTGCCTCCACTGTTAAGTCATCTACTGTAAAAAAAAAAAAAAAAAAAAAAAAAAAAAAAAAAAAAAAGAAGAGCGAAAAAAAAAAAAATTTTCC